CTGTCTACGGTATCCTCTCTAGAAATCACGAAACATAAAACATGTTCTAATCTTGTGTATTCAGACTTATTTAGTGGTCGGGTTTGAAACTGTGACACGTAGTAGAGAATTTCCAACCCCCAACCAATAATTGCTTATGAGAAACCTTCTAAAAAAATTGCTTATGAAAAACGTTATAAGCTATTTATAGCATTTAGCCCAACTCCTACCAACAAAATCTCATTAATAGTTCAAACTTTTTAATTTTCTTTTAACAATTAATAGCGTTTAGGAGAACTTTTTAGATGCTAAAGAAACACTATCATAAGGAGAATCCTTACCGTTCAGAAACATTGTGCTTCTTACCCTCACGTGTTCCTATCGTAAAATGATAAGTGTTAGCTATTCTTTTATTTTAATTATTCTATCAAAATCCATAATCTCATCAAAATATCTTCAAAATATCTTTTAGTCTTTTTAAAGAAGTGTTTGACGAGTCATTCTCCCATTTTTCTCTCTCCCTACGCCATCTCACTTCCTTCTTTTTCTAACTTATTTGTATCTTTTTTTTTCAGTACGTATTTCATTTACATCCTTTGTAAAAATGGTTATGAATAAAAAACTGCAGAAGCGTTATTTAACTTAGAAGACCATGAGATGCCAAGCAAAATAATAGAATAGAGCAAAAAAATGATATTTGTTAAGTGATTTTTCAACAATCATTTAAAACTATGAAAATTAAAAATAAATATATACATATATGTGTGTTTGTAACTTTAAATTGTGGATATGTATTTTTTATACTACATTAATTTAGAAGAAAAAAAAACGAAGGGAGAAAAGAAAGACGTTAGGGCGATGCATAAGTTGAGAGTGAGAAAAAGAATGAGGTGAGATGGTGTAGGGGGGGGAGAAAAATTGGAGAATTAATAGTCAGACATTTTTTCTAAAAGACTAAAAGAGATTTTTGATGAGATTATGAATTTTGATAAAATAATTAAGATAAAAGAATAGCTAAGACTTGTCATTTTACTATAAGATCATGTGAGGGTAAGGAGTACAATGCTCTGAATGGTGAGGAGAGTTTTCTCTCTATCATAAATCATTATATTATTTATCTTAAATTGGGTAGATAYGTAAACTTTTTTATATAGTTTTCAATGTCAGCACTATAAAAAGAAAAATAATAACAATAACTAACTATTTGAGCTATGAGAAAAACTAATATAAGATTTTGTTGGAAACATTAAGAAACGTTGGAATGGTTACTAATCATTTTTTAGAGTTAAATATGAGTAGATAGATACTGCTTTTGGTTTTGGACGGAAATATGTTTGAGATATTTCCATTGCAAGGATTGCAATGCGCTTAAATATTTTTCAACCTCCAGCTCGTGGGAAGGAGAGCTCGAGACACCTATATCATCTTACCAGTTGTCTCTCGCATGCAAGGAGATGTTGCTGGATGTCACGGTTCTCGGACACTATGATCCTTTTCTCTGGAACAACCGAGGGCACAGTCTTCCTTCTGCTTTCAGAGTTAGGGGTTGAATCATCAATCATCATTCAGTGAGCTATTTATTCCTGCCAATAACGCTTCGCTTACACGCCAACACCACGCCTGGTATAGCTACTCACTCAAAGATCCCACCTCTGGAAAGCGCTCTAGATTTACTAAAAGACTTCCTTACATAAGAAACACTCAAGATTCACTCATCCTGTAATGTTTATGCTTATGCGATGAAACCTGCATGTGTCTTGAAGTGGCTCACTTAGGGCTCCTCTGTCGGTCCAAAGATGGTGGTGAGCTAATTCTGTGTCCTCTAAAATGTAAATATTTTAACTTCTATTAGGTATGCGAAGATCGCTTATTTCCGTGGAACTCACATAATAAGTCGCATATATAACCAACTTTTTATGTATTCACGTTGTATCAACAACCCAATTTGCTCATAATCAAACCACTCCACAAACTAAAGCTAAGTTCCTAGCAACCATCCCAATCTATTTGGATGCAACATGGCCAAGCCTAGGCAAGGAATGCTACTTCTCAAACATGTCTATCTCGGAGATCCCTCAATTTAGTGAGTAAAAAGGCATACCTCCATCTCCTAATTAGCAAATTATCTTGATTGATCGTAAGATTTTGTCGTTCATGGCTTGAATCTATCACTAATGTGATCGAGGTTGAGATGACGTCCTCGATCGCTTATCCCTTATGAAGATATCTCTAAATTTAGCTATTATTGTCCATAGATACAACACCCTAATATGATTATTGAAGTTAGCTATGTTTTGCAAATATCACACTGATGTTAGTGGAATGCTTGAGCATTTATTATTTCTCTGTTGATAAAAGTTGAGATTGTATTTCTAACATCTTTTATATATAAAATTCTTCTCTCATTTCATCTCATTGAATCACCAAATGTGGAGCTAATTATCAATTGGTTAAGGCACCTGTCTTCGACCAAAAAGCAATGATACAGAGGACGTCTTTTATACTTAAAATTATGCATAGTAGTCTTTACTTTAAAAATCATTTATAGATATTTACACTTTGAATTAATTTAAGATAAAAAGGAAATGAATCTTTTATTTATATTTCAAAAATATTTATAAGAGTCTCAAGAGAATATCATATGGTGATCACATATATAAGACAATAGTTTTATAGGTGATTATAGTGAATTGTGTGTTACTCTTAGTGGTAAGGCGTGAGACTTAAATTCCCGCATTTGGAAATGTTCATGTTTCACCTCGTTTTAGGATTATATGTTTTGTAACTATTTTTGTTTCTTGTTTTTTTCTTTTTTTTTGAAAAATAAAATAAATGAAAAAAAACAGAAATATTATTTGGTAACCCTTTCTAATTTCTTTTGTTTTCTAGAATTTTAAATTAATAAAAATAAAAGTTTTATGAGAAAATTAAATATTCAAAATTTTTATGTTGGTTGATATTTATTATCTATTTTACAAGTAAAAATGATGAAATGGAAAAACTTAGGAACATGAAAATAAAAAAATAAGAAACATGATTTGTTTCTAAAATCTCTATTAAAATAAGAAACTAGAAATAAGAACCTTTGTCAAATCTTTATTACTTCTCATTTTTTAGAAGTGAAAAAATAAGAAACAAAAAACAGGAACATCATTCAACGATGCAAAATAATTGTCCGAATCTAACCCATTTTATGGTTTTACTTATTTTATTTTTTTTCCGACAGATTATGGTTTTACCTTTTAAAACTATATTCTATTCTTTTTTCAATTTTAGAAATTATTTAGAAAGGTATCTTCTGTTTATATAGTTTTACCTTTTTTTATATATATATTTTAAAGTTGTACTTCAAGTAACAAAACTATTTATCTTTGGGTTCGAGAAATAGTTTTTTAAATAAAAAATTCTTAGGTCCTAGTTAAGAAGACAAATATCTTGTATTCACCACTTTTACGGTTAAGAGTGAGAAATGTAAAAATAGATAATTTTTTTTTAAATTAATAAGCTGTCAATTTTTTGGTGGTCAGTATAGAAATAAATCCTGGTGAGTCCAAATCTAATAATTTTTCCTTTAAAATTACTACCAAAAGAAAAGATTTTTGGACCTAATAAAAAAGAACCAATAGTTTAAGTAGTTATAAGACTGGTAAGCATTTTTATAGGATAATACTAATGTTAATAGGTTTAAATCTTGTTTTGATTAAGTTTATTCTATTGGGTTTTTGAACTTTCTAAAAAATAATCATTTTAGTCTCTAAAAATCAAAATTTTTAGTTAGTCACTAAATATCTAATGAACAACTAAGTCATTAATTATTATCGAGCTACCTAATATTCGCCCACCTAATATCTGCTTTAGCCCGCTTATGTGATACTAATATATATGCTTATGTCAACATATTAATATACATATTCAAGGCCCACATTACCTATATGTGAAATAATTAATGATATAATAATGACAAGAACCAAAATAATTTCTTTTTAAGTTAGGGAATAAAATGACATTTTCAATGTTTGGGAAAAATGAAACTGACCTGAATGTCTAGGAACTAAATTAAACATTTTGAAAGTTCAATGATAAAAATAAAATAGTCTTTAATATTTAGAGACTAAAATAAAATGAAATTTAAACCAGGTTCTTAATAATATATAGTTTTAGTAGTTCTAATACAATTGAGATTAGAAAAATAACAACTAAAGAATTATATTATAAGTATGGTAATTAAAAGTCAACTCGAGCACAGCTTAACTAATTAAAGTATATATCTACGAGATCCGAAATTCAAATATTCACCCCACATATCGTTCAAATAAAAAAATTATAAATATAGTGAAAAAAAGGTTAAAAATCAACTTTTTTGCCTCTGTATTTTCATTGAAATGATGATTTAGTCCCTGAATTTTAGTTTGTAATGATTTAATCTATTTTCACATTTGTTGCAATTTATTTCCTGAACTTCAGTATATAACATGATTTAGTCGTGAAAGATGTTAAGATTTAATGAGATTTCTTATATATGTAGATCATTACAATAATTACGGATCATATGTATTTATAAACTACAAAGCCTAAACTGTTATATAATAAAAGTCAGACTCTTAATTTTGATGAGATTTTTTTTACGGTAGAGACTATATTGTTACCAATTTAAAAACTAAAATTGTAAGACTAAGTCGTTACTTCAATAAAAATCCAAGAACATTGTTGTTTAACCTACCAAACATCATACCACTTAATTAATGGTTGCTATAATTTAGTCAATCATTTAAGCCAATTAGTTTATTGTCATTATTGAAGACAGTTAATATCTCAATCATTCATCTATTATGCAAATAGATGATTATCATATAAAATATAAACACATTGTCTTATCAAACTCAATATGTGATGATTGAACTTGTTATGAAAGAATACTAAATTTGTAATTCTATTACTAACTATTTCAACAAACCCTTTGAATGAATCTTCTCCCCATTTTTTGTGAGCATCAAATTAAGCAACACAAACAAAAATCAGAAAATGCATAATTTGGCTTCAAATATTTCCCATTAGATAAAAAAGAAAGTACAATTCTTCATCCTCAAGGGTGGAGGCCCTCTCTCTTTTGGACCTAATCTTTGTTTCTTTGTACACAAAATCTAACAAATTAAAGGGGTAAAAAAGAAAAGAATGAGAGGGATTTCCTTCAAATTTATCTGCAATTGCAATCCCCATTATTGATGAACAAATGCTTTTTTTTTCCTTGGACAAAAGAATACAATGATCTATCATAAAATCAAGAAGACCATTGATCAGGAACTGTGAGAAAATAAGCTGTCATCGCCTTGCGAAACCGTTTCTTGTATTGTTTCGGAGAGATGATGGTAGGAGAAGCATTCTTCGGGCCTCCGAGTATCCCCGACGCCTTCACCCACGTCTCCAAATGTTTGTCCCATGTATACTGCCTCATGAAATCAATGATCCCTAAAACGAGCTCCTTTCGCTCCTCGTCAACTCCAACCAAAAGCGAATAGTCCATAACGTCAATCGACTGAAGACGTGAAGAGAGGTCAGTAAATTGGCTCAAATCAAACATACAAAGAAACATCCAATTGTCATGCTGTTTATCCAAACTAAGCAGTCAATTCCAGGCCTAACGAAATGCAAAGCTTACCGCCAAAAACGACGTATCGTTCCAGATAGCCCTTTCGAGGTTTCTTTTTGCCTTGCTTCCGAGGAATATGGGTTTCGTCCGCAGTGCTTCTAAAAGGTTCATATCTAGTAGAACCTTGTTAGCCCCGGTCGTATCCGGGTTGTAACGAGATCGTGAAGAGCCCTTGAGGTCGTAAACCTTTGAGATGCTTCTCTTGAAAAATAGATTCTCCATTACCATCAAATCCATCTTCATTTCTTTACCACCCTTCAGGTGTTTAACAGTGACCTGCCATTACACCATATTTATCAGAAAAACAGAACGCTGATACTCATCCACACATTCATTAAAGCAAAAATAAGTATCCAATTCAAATCTCATCTTTCGACTCTAAACTTTCAAGATTCATCCATTTAGATCTCTGAATTTTCAAAAGGTCTAATTTAGTTTCTGAACTTCCAAGAAAATAAAAAACAATCATTTTGATTCTTGCCGCTAATTGGCTTCCCTCTCGTAGCTACATAAGTTGGTTGAAGAGAGTATTGAAGCAAGAACAAGGAAAAAAATAGTTATTTTTTGTAAACCCATGTAACTAAAATAGACATTTAAAAAATTTAGAGACTAAAATAGAATAAACCTGCAAGTTAAGAGAGACCAAAACAAGACTCAAAAGCCTAAATATTCTTACCTGATAGATCCCAAGAATTTTAGCAAGGCAAGTTGGACTTCCAGAGTTGAGAGATTGTGACATGTACTTGAAATATTCAGGAGCAAACTCCTCAAATGAATCAAGCTCTGTCCTGGTGACTTGTTTTATAATGAACCTCTCATCTAATGACTTGGCAAAGTAAACATTACTTTTCCCACCCTGTGCGCTCCATCTACGGCAACGGCTCAAAGATCTCACAAAATCCACTCCCTTGGGGCAGCACTTTTTTCTTAACAAGTCAAATTGCTTTGCAAAATAGCAGGTCACAGAGAACTTAACTTTACCTACAGATGTTGAAGATTCATCTCCAAACGAAATCCGTAAATGGGGAGATTTTTTGGGGTCTGAGAACAGGGTTCTCAAGGAGGAAGAAGAATCTTCAGCGCCATAGCTTCCATAGTGGATATAGTCCAAGTCCAGAGAACCAAAAGACTGCCAAGCCAAAATACTTGAAACCCGAGAATCTTCGGTGTTGAGTCTAGGGACACTCCGGCATCCTTCGTTATCAGTAAACTTATTGGCAACCCAGTCGTCGTATTCTCTTGAATTGAGGGCATACGCAATTATGCTGGTAGGTTCGTTGTCATAAACGGCAATAACTATATCGTTGTTGCCGGTCTGAGGAAGCAGCAGTCGGATGCCTTCAGGGACATGAGATGCCGAGATAAAAGATGGAGTTGAACTGAGTAATAAATTTAACTTCTGTGTTTCCCAAGGTAGCACTTGCGAGTGAGCTCTAGCTAAACCAGAAACAGGATCCCTCAGCATATTACCGYAATCTCCAGAAGCATGGAAAGATCTAATTGTTGACAATTGAAAAGTAGATGGGTGTAATCCTTTCCTGATTCTCTCTTGCATTCTTACCGCAGAATCGAAGGAATGAACTCTTACAGGTGACATCATTATCCTCCTAATTTGAGGATTATCATTTTGACTCATATGCTTCACTGCCCCATCTAAGGGTTCTTCTGCACATGGTTTCTTCACAAATTGCTCAGTTCCTGACCATGCATAATCTATTCTCTCAGAAAGATTGGATCCATAAGAAAGAAGGCTTTCAGATGATGCCATGGGATCAGTCATTTCCCCATCTGAGTATGTTTGTGTTTCCTCTTGATGTGAAGTTGATTCTGAGCATTCAAATGCTGTGGGTGTGAACTCTTCCTTCTGCTCTCCTACATCATTTCCAACAGACTCATGAACCCAAGAAGATTCTTGAATATTCCCACTGTGACCAAATTCAGCTTTCCCATCACTGTGAGCAGAATCACTTTTCAAATCCCTCATCACAGGAGAAGACGCATCGTTCTTGGGATTTAATATCTTTTTAAGGTGGGAATCAAGCGAAAAAAGGCGATGATCCCAAAAGTGCATATGAATTAATAGTGAACGCCTCAAACGGTTCAGTTCCAGAATGTCCACCGTAACCATCCCCAGTAACGAAGGTTCCATCATGAAAGGTTGCAGAAAACCCTATTTTAGAAGGAAATGAAGCAGAAAACCTGATTAAATTACCAATTACATATTTCTCATAAATATTAAACATAGTGCTATCTACAAATATGCAATCACGGTTAATGTTTTTATCATAGTCGGATTGTTCTCAGCACTTACAATGTAATCACTTCGTTCCTTTTGTAGCAGTCCTTTCAGTTGCATGATGTGGCTTTGCACCTCCTCACTTGAATCAGATGGTTCCTGTGTGGACTTGCTTTTCTGTTCCATTCGATCGACAATATCAGAAATCTCAGCATATAAGCTTTCCATCTTACCAATAATCTGCGTAGAAAACCAGAAAACTACTTGAGCAAACAACAGCAAGATTTCGAAATTGCGTAAATTGCATTTCGGAATCTAAAAACCACCTCTGATGCTTCTTTTGATATCCATTCCTGCTGAACATGGCTATTGAACTCGAGTACAGAAGGGGGCAAGTCAACAGAGAGAATATCAATGGTCGAATATCGGAAAAATGCGACCATGCTCCCGAACCTGTGTTATGAAACATCATATTCAGTGACAAGCAACATCCAATAACAATGGTAAAATTAATACTGAATTCAGATACCCAACATACCCATAGAAACGAAGGCAGTCTCTCTGCAATGAATGACCGCATGTTGCAACTCGATTTGCAGTCGCATGGTTCGAGAAACTAAGCTCCAAAAATTTTCCAAAAGAAAGCCCCCAGGCAGCATCAGACATTACAACCCTAGGAGTTGCTGGAGGGACTCCATCTATTTGGGCACACCTGAGACACCTGTGCCACATCCATATCTTACCATCTTCTTCCCCAGGAAGCTTTATAGAGGGTAGGCGTCGAACATTAATTGTAAGATTGCCCTGCTGATGAGTGTAACACAAAACATGGGCCTCAGCTGACTCCTTACACGACCGACAGCTCGATGTCTGCAATGAGAACCCAAACTAAATAAATACCACCTCGAAACTACCTATTATAGCTATCCAGGGAAAAACCAACTTTATGTTTCAATGAAAACATACTAGAATAAAGAAAAAAATGAAACCTGGTCGAAGAGATCATCACGTAGGTATCTTCCTAAAGGCTTGTCAAAACGGCCATAAAACTTTATGCGCAGAAGGCGAGAGCGCTCACATACAGTTCCTTTAAGTACACAATGGCTTGAAAAGGCTACTAAAATGCTCTGGTTATCTGCTGCAGAGAAGTATTCACTAGAGAGGTCATTTTCATCAAAACTTTCAGATTTTCGCAACTCTGAAATCCCACCGGACTTTCCCTTTGTCCGTTCCAAGGTTTCTCGCAATTCAGATTCAGAAAGATTTTGGATAGAGAAAGTAACTGCTGAACCATCCTTTAATTCCTCACAACGATTACAAGAAGGTTTTATATCAACATCAGATGGCAAATCATCATTGAACATATCGGGAAGTGTGTCGACCATGATAGAGTCTTCAAAGCCAGTAGGCAGTAGAAAGCCATTATTATCAAAGCGAGGATTCATTGAGTACAGTTTGGATTCTTCAAGCTCATTATTAATAGAAGAGAATTTATTGCTGGCGGAGACATCGACCGGATAATTGGGTGAAGTGGGTGCATCAGGATTTTCTGATGTGGAATTATCTTCAACAGGAATCGAGGGCTTTGGCATCTTAGGCAAAGAAGCACCTTCGTCCACAAGAAAGGAAGTCTCAAGAGATAAGTGATATGCTGCAAATACTGCATATTGAACAACATGTTTAACTTTTTTAAGTTCTTCACGACACATGCCTTTCAGCAAGACCTAGGAGAAGAATAGTGACATGATTAGAGGCAAAACAGAAGTTCTATAAAATCACATTTTTCTAAGCCCACAGGATCTAGATTCATGATTTCAAATTAAAAGCAATAAAAAGCTTCATTTACTAAGAAAAACACACATTAGGATAATTTCAAAAAACTATTACATAACCAAAGAAAACAAGTATTTTGTTTTCATGTGTTAACTTCTTGTTTACTAATAAACTATTCATCAACAACCCTTTTCTAACTAGAAGCAAGAGCTTCTTAATGATAATTGAAAAGCTACAGTATAGAAGAAAAAAAACTTACTTAGGAGTAATATAACAAGGTACCCAAAAAGATTAATCAACAACATTTTCAAGAATAAACTAGTTGTAATGCATTATATTATTTGGTTATTACAAGTAAAAGATAACTAAAGACAGATGAGTTAAACAAGTTTTTAAAGAATATCTTAAATTTAAACCCAACTAAGAAAGGGTCTTAAAAAGTAGCCTTGAAAATAATTTTGAAAAAAATAGTCCCGAAAAACCACTTAATTTTCTAGCTAAAAAATTACCGTGCAGCCCAAGCGCTTCGGACACCCTTCAAAGAACATCAAGGTCTTTGATAGTTTTTTATTCTGATTAACATTTTCGTGCTCTTCATTCACTCTCTCCAACCGGAAAAGTTCACAATTTCCAAGACGTGCCGTGGAAATATGATCGATTGATGGAGTAAGGGAAGCACCAGTGCAACGGGCTATGCGCTCTAGTAATGGCTTTTTAACATTCAGAACCAGAGATATTTCCTTCGCCAGCAGATATTCCTGAGCGCAAGAAGATACACTTTTTTCCACCAGCAGAACATTGGGGCGAAGAGACTCTATTTTGGAAATAATAGTCTTCAGATGGTCATCTTCCTGCAAAAAACAAGATACAGAAAAATCCAGAAGTCAAGGAACAATGAAAACCAAGAAAATTACTTCAACAAGTTCTAGCATGCTGTATACATAGTAAACTTAATTAATGTGTAAAAAGAAGATAAACAAATTACAAAATATTGATTTTCTTGAAACTAAAGACAAGTACCTGATGTAATAATGTATTAAAAGAAGCTAACTGGTTAGCTACATGATGATATTCAAGGGATCCTCCTAAAAGAAGTAACCTGGGGTTTTTGAATTGTGAGGTCATGCGTTTGTGCTTAATGTTTTTTGTACAAACAACTCCCTTTATAAGTGAGCTGCAGAAAAAATTGATTTCAAGATATTAGTTAAACGAAACCATATGCTATTTGCACAAAGGGATATTCTCAGCTATAGTAATAGCCATAAGTTATACCTTTCATTAGGATGTCCCGATGCAATGCATTTTACTTTCACATAATCCCCAGGATCCATACTGCCCCCTCTGCTAGTATCCGGTCTCACAAAATTTCCAGCTTGCCAGGCAATTGTGGTAATGACATCAAGCCAGTCCTCATTGTCATCTCCTCCAGATTTGATATCCTCCCCCTGTAACAGTTGTGCAACAAGAGCCCTAAAGTGACCCTGAACCATAGCTCTGAGAGGCTCCTTATTCTCGTCATGCAAATTTTGCTTTGCTGGAAACATGCTAGAAAGGCTACTACTCGTGGAGAACAGAGCACCAGAATCCCCAATATTGTCGTCTTCATCATCATATGCAAAGAAATTATTCTCCAACTCATCACTTTCATCTTCAGGAGGTGGGGGGAACCAGATACGCCCATTGTTTTCAAAATCTAATGGCCTTTCTACCTTGTCATCTTGGTTCGGAATAGTTGGCAGGTCACCAGAGCATACATGTTTGTTATCTTGACCTTCAGTCAGTCTCTCAGTCTCAGGCCTATTTAAAATGGTCACAGCATTTTGAGACACTAGATTCACCCTTTGACCTGGATCTATAGTCTGTACAACATAATCAGCTTTACTGAACGTATAATCATTCCTCGAGGGGCTGTCAGAAGGACTTGATTCCTCAAAATGAGAACTAAAGAACTCGTTTCTAGCACTAACACTACTCGAGTCTATATCTGAACTGTCACGAAAATAATCACTTGATGGGCTGAAAAAATGCCTCCCAGAATCTTCTGCATCCTCTTCATCACTCCTATATTAGTAAATTTTTAAATAAGTTGAGTGAATCAGATCAGTCGGCATCACTCTCCTACATAAGTGTTAGAAATTAAAGAATTGGAACAACAAGGACGGACAACTACATTTTACATCTAATTTCATTTCTTGATTTCGAGTGGAATTTTGTTATATTTTGAGCCAAAAAGCATCATACAAAATCAGAAAGTTGAGTACTACCAACAAAACTATATACCAACTAAAGAGTTTTCTATTTATAAGTGGATTAATGATTTCTCACATAAAAGTTCAGAGGTACTCAACAAAAACAACATCGAGACTTGTGCATCCCTGTGATGGGCTCATAATAAAGAATCATTCACTTACAAGCATTTTAACAAACATTGAACTTAATTTTAAACTAATCATTAATAAGAGTTACAGCAGGTACTAGAACACCAAAAATTATTGGGACAAACAAGTATTCGCTTTCAAATCAAGCATTACCAGTTAGAGGAGTAGCGAACAGAAATAGGAGATGGATGAGCATTAAACGAGCTCAATATCCTATGTGATGCTGCATAGGGAGAATAGCCACAATCTTGTGACTCAAGATACCGACTCAGGTGATCACCGGGAATTGATTCAGTCTTCATAGGAGACTTGTCTGCACCATCATTACTAGGTGAAGGCGGCTCTGGGCTATCCCTGGGAGAGACAGAAGGATGTACTTTCTCACCATATCTCCTGCCAACTTCATGCCGTAGGTTAGCATCAGAACAAAACTTACACAACTTGATTCTCTTCAGAGCCTCATTACCCACCTTCATTCCATCTGATTCGACAACATAAGATTCATAACCCCGAATACATTTTCCGCAAGACAATTGACTACAACTCTGGCACTGGAATCTCAAAGAGATCTCAGAAAAGCTTGTATCACACTCACAACACATTTTGTAACTATTTTCAGGCATCACAAATTCCTTGGATAAGCACACTGATGAGTCAGGTCCCCAGGATAACCAAGACCTAACCTTCTCAATCAGATCTGATAGTGAACTATCAGGTATTCCCATAAACAGTCAGATCACCCAAGAAGAATTAAAACCGCGATTACTCCTCGAAATCGAGACAGTATAACACCCCCCTCTTTTTGGGATCAAATATAGAATTTTTCTTCTTTTTCACATATAAAAATGAAATGGAAAAAGAAAATATAGCCCTTAGAAACAAAGTACCCACAGAAGCTCCAATTAAAAAGAGAAAAAAAAACTGAAATAATACCCACAATAAAAATGATGGGGTGCTTTGAGATGTGTTTGTATGAGTCTCAGACTTTATACTGTATATTTCTTCCCCTCTCTTTCTCTCAAAATGGGGGCCAAAAGCCAAAAAGAAAAAAAAAATTAACAAATCCTCCAAGAATTATATCAAAAGAAGGATATAAGAAGCTATGAATAAACCTGAGATACAGAAAATCTAGCATTATTTACACCAAAATCCTATCAAAACAAAGACCCGAGACAAAATAAGACAATGAAAACCAGTATCATCACCTACAACAACCAGAAGAGGACGCACAAAATGAAACCCTAAAACCTAACTACTGATGCCAGAGTCCTCAAGAATGAATCCGGCAACTGATTGAAGCATCCCAAGGACAAAACCCAGTAAAAAACGATCATAAGTAAACCCCAAATTAGAAAAGGGCCAAAGATCAAAGAAGAGAGTTAGGTTGATTGACTTTACAAACAGAAACCCAAGTCAAAAGGAAGCACCCCCAGATGAAGAAAAGCCAAACACATACCAGATTGAAGTAAGAAGAGGCAGAATCAGAGAGAGAAATAGCAGTTCCTGAAGAGAAAACAGAAGAAGAACTGGGGAGGAAATATCTTAAATGCTGGGTAAAATAAGAATCAAAAGGAGGAAGAGGAGGAGTACGGAGAAGGTTCCCTTTCTACCGGAGTCAGCAGCTCGCATCTCGAAGCTCAAAATTCCCTCTTTGTTACCCCAACAACCACCACTTCTACTGTTCATCCTTCCCATCTGAAGAACCACTTTCTTCGATTTCCATTCTGGTCTCTCATTTCATTTCCGATTTCCACTACAATCAATCCCTGCTGCTGAATTTCCTCTCTTTTTTCTTCTCTCTCTCTCTCTCTCTCTGTACTCTCTCTGCTGCTGCTACTGCTTTTTCTTTTTTCTTTTTTGATCATTATTGAACAAGTAATCTGCTTTATGCCCGTATATAAAGGAAAACCCATAAACCAAACCAAACCCAACCCAACCCAACCCAATTCTCTCTCTCTCTCCTAATTGACAATGCCCATCAAACTGATTAATCGGGAATATTAAAATTAGGGTTTCTGCGCTTTTCTTTCCCCCTTTTGATTATTAAATTTAGGGTTTTGAGGTTCAAATCAAATCCATGGGTGTTGATTGGTCAGCAACTCAGCGTCAGAAAGATAGGGAAGAACAGTCAGTTCTAATTCATCGTCCATTTTGTGCGATTACAGAAAATTAATTTTAATCTTAATCATTATTTTTATTATCATCATTATTAAAGTATATTTTTTATTTCCCTTGAGCTTGCGATACACGCGCGCTGTAGGCGCGTGCGGTACACGCGCCTTTGACAACATCTAGAACGTGGTATTTTAGTGCTAACGGGTCAAATTTTACGCCCAATTTATGATTGTCCTTTCAACTTTGTGTATTTTCTTTTTCCTTTTTCCTATTATTTATACTAATTTGAATTTAAATTTTGGTTTGGTTCTCCACTTTTAAAATTAATTTTCAAAACGTTAATTTTAGTCTTTAAATATTTAATAAAATATTAACTCTTCTTTTGAAAAGAAAATTAATTCTCATCATTGTTTTACCATTAATTATTTAACATACTTTGAATCTATTTATTTATTTAACATGGACATGTTAATCATATAAGTTAAGTTGATTGAAATGATCACAAAATTATGATTAAAATAGATTTCTTTTTCCTTTTTAAGTTTTAATTCTAAAATTGGCCTTTTAAAAAATCAAGAATTAAAATGGTTATTTTTTTAACTCCATGAGCTACTGTACATGTTTTGAACTAAAATTTATGTATAAATTTATTATATTATATTCACTCATATATTGAATAATAATTATTATCATTATCAACCAATATAGAAAAAATATATATCCTTTTTATTTAAAAATAATAAGTATTGTCATGGATATTTATTATCTTTTCCAATTGCCACATGGATTATCCATCAGCATTTTGTGTAGTTGAATGAGTTATAAAATTTAAAAACATTAATTATTTATTTATTTTGAGTTATCCAAAAGTCAATATTTTTTTAGCAAATTAATTTCAAATTTTGTTTATTTTATTATTTTAAAAGGTAATATACTTTTATCTATTCTAAAATATCTCAATGCCTCATTGAAGGCAAAAGATCTCTCTTTTTTATGGAATAGATTGTAAAAGAAGCAACGATTACTAATTTAATTAAATTTTGTTTTTAATTATTATAATTTTTGGGTCCAATAAATGAGATGTTTAATTTCAAAACACATGGAATTGAATTAAATGTGGCATTCCACTACTTGGATTTGGTATGAAATTTTCTTTGCCTTTTTCATTCACTCATGCGACGTCGTTTTCATGGTTTCTTCTTGATTATATTTCCTATTTCATAAATATAAATATATTGTGGTGATTTGTTGGTTTGTTTCTTAAAAAGAAAGCAATTTTTTAGGATTATTCATTCAATTATAATTGGTTTATGATTTTGTATATTAATGGGAAATAATAGGGTCCAATTTAAGAATTTAAATATGAATGTTTTAACTCTTAAATAGCTAGGTGTTTTATGAATTTAATTTGGATTATATATTAAACTGTAGAATTATTATTAATAAATGGTTGTTTACTCAAGGCCCGGTTGATAATATTTTTTGTTTTTTTTAAATACATGTGATTATTGATGCGGGAATTTGGCTCCTTGAAATTTCTCCAGATCTGCATCAATCTTTTATATATGAAAAGGGATCGACGTGACCTGAAAAAAGAATAGCGCTAGGACCAACGTGTCCTTCGTCACACGGACTCCGATGCTTAAGTTAGTATCGGGATAGTGAAACGTATAGAGTAAGGTATTTAAGCATACCTCTAGGATTTGGTTTATGTGAGTTGAACCCTAATCCCTTTAGCGATTACTAAAACTAAATCCTAGTGTGCCAAGAAGATCTAGACAGCTGGCTTATGCGTCTCGTAACGAGCTTAATGTTGAATACAGGGTCGAGACAAGGTAAACTCAAAATGGATTGCACGGGATCGGGAGAGAACCGTCGGGGTTCTCAGCCAAGGGGGCCGAGAACTCCTTATCGTCATGATGGTCTTGGCGTCGAGGCATGGTCAGCGCTGAGCAATGCTCGGCATCAACTTAGAGTCGGCTATGGCCGGCCCAGGTGGTCGGGTTTCAGCCTCCGTACCTAGTGAGTCCACTCCTTCCCCGGCCCAACCCCTGTCTTCTACTCTCCCTTCTGATCTCGATGCGTCTTCCTATAACAATTACTAACATTTTTCTTTAAAAGGTATTTACTAGCATATACCTAACTCAGCAATAATTGACAAATATCTCCAATCAAAAGGTTGTGATTTCATATTTCATGGTCGTATTGAATAACATTTTTTTTTAGCTTTCTCAAACAAACATATTTATATATAAATTTATTTTGGTAAATAGATTTGTGATTTTAGTATTCTAATATGAAATATCTAAATCAGGTCCTCCACCATTCTACATAATTCCACTTTGGTGAGTACTCAAATTTGAAATCAATTTGGCCTAAAAATTTACATTTTATAGGGAAATTAATTGATCGTTGCAATTTTTCTTTTCGAGTAGGACAAGAATTAGAGGTGTTCAAAAAAATTCGATGATTCGAAAAAATCGTTCGACCCAACTTGATTTGGGTTGGATTATAAACTTTTTTGGATTTGATTAGTTCAAAAGTCACCTAAAATATGTTTGGGTTGAACCGAACCAAACCGAATTTATTATTAATTTTAAAAGTATTTTTTTCCTCACCATAAAAATTATATTTCTTTTAATTTTTATTTCGTCCAATAATTTTTTAGGGATTATTTATCCTGCAACGACTACTAAAAACAATTTTTACAGTTTCGAAGGGTTCTTTTCCCATAAAAATAAAATCAACTTGCGAATTTTGATACAATGTTAGACCATATATAAAAGACTATTTAAAATATTATAATTTTTCATTTTTTTGTTATATAACCCAACCCTACCTAACTCAACCAGATTGGATTTATTATTTAATTATGATTATTTGGGTTGAAGAAATTCACCATCGAACAATTGGGTTATGTCCAAAAAGTGCCTCGATCCAACTCATGAATAGTAGTAGGAATCAAGCCATCAATAGTAACTGATATCTTATCCAATAGTTAGGCTTGAATTAACTTGATTGTTGCATTATAAAAATAAAAAATAATAAAACTTGATGGTTGCAATTTGGCAGCTTCCTTATTACAATATATGTTATAGCTTGCTTAATCTTTTTATCTTTAATTTTTGGTCAATTTTTTTTTCTCATATTTCATTGTTCTTATGTCAACTATTGTGGCTATAAATAAGATATTATTCTCGCATGCTCAATAAGTCACCATCGAGAATTTAGATCAAGCATCAATTCAACATTATTTAGAGACCTTTATTTTTTTTATTCACTTGTAAAATAGGATTGACGATCTTTCGAGCAATGGATAACACCAAACTAAGAATAAAAAAATGAATCGTTTGGTAATGTTTTTCAATTTGGCGAGAAATATAAATATATGGAAACTGTTTCTGTTTTTCGTTTTTCATTTTAAAAAATGTTGCCAAATTTATTTAATTTCTTTTTATGGGTTTCTGTTTCTTTTCTTTTCCTCCAAACAGGAATGAAAGTATTATTTTATATTTTTTACTTATAAAATACATAATAAATATTTAAAAATAACATAAAATATCTGAATATTCAATTTTATAAAAATTAAAAAAGTTGTTGTTTTTTTTAACTTAAAGTTTTAGAGAACAAGAAAAAAGAAATTGTTATCAAATATGTTTATGTTTTTTTTAAAAAAACAAAAAACAATTATGAAACACAATTTTATTTTTTATTTATTAACAAAAAGGAACAAGAAAAAAAAACGATAAACAAAAAACGTGTGCCCTCATTTTGTCCTTCTCTTATTACAGATACAGATACAGTACTTTTTTGTTTTTTGAAGCAAGTATTCTTTTGTTGTTTTTTTAGTATAACATGTGAGGGTGAGGATTCGAATTCTCAACCTCATAGTGTATATATATGCATTAACCCGTTGAACAATGCTCTAGACGGCACTTATTCTTATTATTATCTGATTTTTTTTAGTAAGTTTTTTTTTATAAAGTTTAAAAAAACATATGTGTTAGATACTTTTGTCTAGGGGGAGATTTTTATTGATGTGATGTTACTTACCAGGAGATTTTGCCGTTTTTGTTTAGTTAGTGTTTTTGCCAAAAACAATGCGGAAGGGGGAGATTGAAAAGATTTTATTTTTTTGCATTATTTTTTTATTCTTTCATAATTTCCTTATGTATTAGTTATTCATTTTAGTAATTTTATCTAACGAATTTATTTGAAATTTGTGATTTAATTTGATTGAGAAATTTGAGGGATTGATGGCTTTTCTTATCAACTTTGATTTGGCTAGATTTAGATTAATGAAATCTTTTCCTAAATGTGTGAATGCTTTTTTTCCTTAAATATTGAAAAATGGTTAAGACAATTTGATCCATCCAGTATTTCTCTCATATTGATTGATCCAATTTTGTCTGGGTGATAACTAAAAAGGGATTACTATTCTCTTTGGTTATATATATTGAGAACGTATTTCGATTGAAGATGGTGAGCTTCATAAATAATAGTTGAACACACTGATACAAGGAGAGCTTGTGAACTTACGTAGATTGATATGTATTGTGTGCTAATCCTTTGGTAATCTATTTTAAATCTCTGAGTGTGGCCTTGTGGGGTAGATTGTAAAATCAAACCACGTTAAAAATGTCGTGTGTTCATCTGTCCTTTTAGTTGGACATATTTTTAGTATTTTTACAAGTAAAATTGATTTTTAGTTATACAATAGAAAAATAAATTTTACATT